TTAATTATTTAAACTGTCCTAGCGATTTGATTTGAAACTGTCTCATTGCTGTTTGTTTATCAATAAAATTATGAAAAAAAGTTTAAAAAAGAAAAAATAAATAGGAATTAATGAAGAAAGTAAAAGACCTTTACACTAAAAGTACAATACTTAAAAAAAGGAGACTGATGAAAACATCAGAAAATAGAATAACATCCTCTATAACTGGATAAGTAGAACCAACATTGTCAAAATGGCCATATTTCCAAAACCAATGTACAGATTTACTGCAATGACAATGAAAACATTAATAATATTTCTCTCAGAACTAGAGAAAACAACTCTAATATTCTTATGGAAAGAGAAAGACCAAGAGTAGCAAAAGTAATCCTGAGAAGAGCAGGAAGTCTCACAATTTCAGATTGAAAATGATATTACAAGCCCATAGTGATAAAAACGACATGGCACTGACACAAAAATAGATATTTGGGTCAATGAAACAAAATAGAAGAAGCATAATGGGGAATTACTCAGCTATGAAAAAAAAAATTTGAAACTTTTGTAGATAAATGGATGCAGCTAGAGACTGTATTGGTAAGTGAAATAAAGCAGGTCCACATGTACAAACATCATGTTGTCTCACTAGTGTGACACTCAGAAAGAATAAATATAGTCTGAAAGGGACAATAGATACTGTGAAAGGGAAAGAATTTGTTCCTTAGGAAGAAAAAACTGGGATGAGCAAAAGACAAAAGAAAGAAAGTAAAAAGATGATATTTATGTATACATGCAGGATAATTTGAATAATTGTACTGGTGATTTCTGCTGGTCTTTTCAAAGTAGCAATTAATGCTTAAAATTTTTTTCTTACCCTTATTTTTTTCTTTTCAATTTCTTATAACTTTTTTGTTGTTATTTCATTTTATTTCTTAAACCAATTTTGCATATTTCTATCTGGTAACCTAAATAATGAACTTGAAAGTAACATCATGCAACACAGCACTACTGTTGAACTCCTATTACTTTGTTTAGTGAAATTATGTATCATTTCTAATGCTGTTTTTTTTTAAATTACTATGTTATATTCTTTAAAATTAAAAAAAGAAAAAGAGGCAAAATTCAGACACATTCATTTACATAGCTTTTCACAAAGGCGATGAAATATGTGTTGAAGGAAAGCTAGTCTCTTTAGCAAGTTTTGCTGACAGAACAGGCTACACACTTACTGAAGACCAAATCTAGATCCATACCTTCCATCACGTACTGAACTAGATCAAAATGGCTCAAAGATATAAATATTACAATGGAAGCACTTAACTTTCTGGGAGAGAAAATAAGCAATAATGCTGAAGTCATAGGTATAAAAAGGATGTTCTGAACAGAACCCAGTTACAGAAGAAATAACATCAAGAATCAATAAATGGGATCATATCAAATTAATGAGCTTCTGGACAGCAGAGAAAACAACCGATACAGTACAGTGACAACCGACAGAATCAGAAAAACAATTTTGGCCTTTATGTCTCAGAG